ATTTATGCCGGCTTTGACTTTTCAGTTTGATGAAGAGGGTATGGACAATGCCATCGAAAGGTCCAAGAGTTTGTCCGTTCAACTGTCTGGTGCTGGAAGAATAAATGGCAACTATAGCAAGAGATGCAATATGGACTAAGTACTTGCGTTGAAATCTCCCGAAAGGATAAGTTATAAAGGCGAAGTCAGCGAAATGGAACTGCAATCAAGCCAAACGTCGCCTCCATATCTAAGATTCTTTTTTCATTAAACAAATATGGATGATTTTGTTAAATTATAAGCTATGGCGTATAGTTTAACGATTAGAATGGGCGGAATGTTGGAAAAATAAGGGATTTTGGTGGCCGGATAGTTTCTGGAAACTTCGAATTCATGAAAAAAGGTAATAAATAAACAATACGAAATAAGGTGATTTAAAGATATTTCACCGAGAAAGGTTAAGAACAATGTAAAATACTCACTTTGGCCACAAAGGTAATTATGTATGATAAAAAACATTAGCAAATGTTTGTACCAGAAAAAACGAATCGTTAGAAGGTAAACTAAGGTGGAGCAGTTGCCAGTGCTAGGTTAAGTTACAAAATGAGCACCGGTCCATTTGAAGATTACTACTAAATATAAACTTTTAGCGAAGTTTCCTACATAGGGCTTAAAAAGGATCTTCGTGAAACTCTTTAAGGTACATGTAAGCAACGGAGAATTGGGGAAGATCCCCAAAACAGCTGAAGGACAATCACAGTTTACAGCCTTCTAAAATCAGTCGAAGAGAGACTGTCTTTAAGGTTAATTGTTAATGACGAAGGAGGTGTGGTGCATTTGATTTCACTATTCTTATGCAAGGAATTACGGAAAGTGGATAATTATTTGATATATTCAGCGAAAGGCTCCTATGAATTTGTTGTATTTCCTCCAAAAAGGTGGATAAACTTGTAGGGAGGTTAATAATAAAAACAACTTTCATGCCTTATTATGGAGGTACCTGTCGGCTCATGCGTCAAAAGGTTGCGGAACTACAAATTGCTGTTAGATGCGATGGGAACTGTACATGAGATGGAATGGCCTTATTTCATCGGTCTGCTGATTCTGTCTGTGTCTATTACTATTGGAATAAACGGTCTAGGAAGTGTCATGAATGGGAGGAATAAGGTGGGAAAGTAAATTAATAACTTATTGTGTTTGATCACTTTAACACACTGAAAGGGAATCAGGTGTGCTGTGGATAGGTGACGACACAAAAGTGAACCAGTTCAGGATTCACTTTCATCATTTCCCAGGTTGCATAAGAACAAAATGGTCTGGAGAGAGCCAGTGAAGTTGTCTTGAAGGCATGAACTTCAGAGTAAACACTTTCATTCGGCGGCGGACATGACCTGGATGAGATCGAGCCTACACTTTACGATCTCGTCCGCTTTGGCAATCCGACCCTAATACGCCAAACTACCATCCCTTAAAGTTGGAGTTCACGGCGCGATTGAGTATAAGCTAATTTCGTTCAGTTAGGCTCAAGGTGTCACGCACTTTTACGCTTTTTGGGGCTCAGCTTAGGATTCTTATCTCATGTACTACTAAATCCAAGCTAAGCCATCTTTCCCAATATCGTTTTATAGGGTCTATTACTTGTTTATTTGGACTGCGACCGATTACATCCTTCTCATCTTTAGACTGGACTGCCGTCTCGACATCGCCTCATTGCCAAATCAGCCTCCCTGGCGAGAATGGAACAATGGAAGTGAGGATTAAGATGCCCATAGGGTATACCATTGAGCCACACAACCTTAACAAACGTAATCTTATTCGAAAAGTACGACTTTCAAGACGAAGTATTCCTCTTTTTCGGCTCGCGTCATGTTGTCATTCATGTCATTTCATTTAGGTTCTCTAATATGGACTCACAGTTGGCTCTGGTAGCAAATTAACATTTTCACTACCTATACACAATGACTGTATCAGACCTTCTCAGCTCACTTTCTGCAGCAACCTCATTCTATCGTTTGTGGTCGCCTTTAGACTTGCCCCGTTATTGCCAAATTCCTGCGGCTGAAGGTGAGACTTTATCATGCCTCATGCTTGCCCGTTTCGCCTGAGACACTAGGAAGCCTCAAGTCTCGAGGTCGGACTTTCTGTGGCTGAGATTAATGATGCTGTCGTTGCTATTGCTACTGCTGCTGCTGCTGATGATGATGATGATGATGGGATAGGGGTGCTGATGCTGGTAAGAAGATTGGGAATGATTCTGAAATGGGGCTAGTGAGGATAATGACAACGATTGGGGGAAGATGTTGATGATGGTTGGTGTGGTGTTGGGGATGGTGTTGGTCAAGTGATGCTGTTGAGGATGAGGTTGATTGTAATTATGGTGATGATGTTCGCCGGGCTTATTCAATCCTCCAACAGAAGTTCGAGAGGGCATACAAATTGGACAAATATGTGACAAAGAAAGGTCAACTAGCAGTAGACAGGGTTGTGGTTGTTAGTGGATCCCTTCCCATTTTGACTCGCAAAGGTGCATCCTCGACCCGATTGCCATTTGCTCGTGTGTGCTCACCTATTTTTGCTCTATGACTTCCAATTCACATCAACTTTTTGCTATTTTGCACTGATCACCCCACGACACTTTCAGAAGGCTACAGACACGAAGCACATGGGCTGATGCCCTTTCAGCCTCTCTTGATGCTTGTGACATGACATTTTATGTGAAAGTACAATTCGGTTGCAAGGAATTAATGAATTAGTCTCACTCAAAACCGAAGCGAGATTGCCTTGGAAGAGTGAAGACTGCTGAATTGTGCGAAGAAGTCCTCATTGTTCTGTGACTTGGATGAACCCGTGCTGACCTTTCCTCTGTCATATGGTAGACACAGTCAGAGTAGGGAGTTATCATTTACGAAACAAATGCACCAAATACAATAAACAGCCTTCGCATCACCGTCTTCCAGATACCGTCTGTCGTCTTTCAACCCATTCAATTGGTGCCAATCAGCTGATCGCCAAAGTTGCTATGTTGTGTAGATTTTAATTTTGTGTGAAAGTGCCTGATGGAGAGATTCGCAGATCATTTTTCTGCCTTTTCTACAGTGTTCAGGCCGACTTAGTCCAGGAAACATCCCCCGTAGCTTCGAGTGAAACCGGGCTAAACTTTCATCCGATCATGTGACAGACGGTTAGCACCTAGTCTGGGTGGTGGTGGCTTTCCTAAAGCGAAGTCTCCCCAGCCAGTATCGAGATCCGGCGGCTACAAAAGTGTGTGCTGCTGTGGTCGACCTTATGTTGTTAAGACATGCCGGGCTATTCGACAAC